GGCCAGGAGCCCCTAGGAGCCCCTAGTAGCTTCTTGTTCTCCCAGTTCTTTTTTTCAGGTGAAAACAGGCATGAAATGGCTGAATCTGAGTGGAACAATCTGTCCTCACGAGTTGTATCGCCCACCAAATGTAAAGTCTTGCAAAGCCTGAGTAGAGCAATACAAAAGGGTCTGTTCCAATTCAAGGAGATCCCTTGTTACTAACTGTTACTACTAGTAAGGCACTTGTTTCTAATAGCAAACATTGTTACTACTAGTAAGGCACCTGTTACTACTAGCGTGGCACTTGTTACTACTAGCTTCCTGTCCCCCCCATCCCAAATATTGGCAGCATATTTCAACATTCCGAACGCCTCCAGAGGCGATGTTCCTCACTCACCAGAGGAACGATCGCTGAGCCATGGGTTTTTCGCGGGCGTCCCGCATCCCCGGCGATGATATTAAGCACAGAATGATGGTACACCGTGCAACGACGATTGACATCGTTCCAAGAATTTCCTTTACGAATTGCCTCTTTTGCTCATCTGGATGGATCATCATGGTTTGCTCATCTTGTGTGCTTTACCCCCCTTCGTTCGGGCTTCCCTCGTGCTCGACTCGGCCCCAGACTCTTCGGAATCGAAGCCCTCGAAGTCATCCTCAGTCCAAAGGAGTCGAAGCGCGAAACACCGACGGCCTCCTTCTGTGAGTGGAAGTCATTGGACCTCCACTTGGTTTCAAGGAATTGACGTAACATCAATTTGTGTGATCTTTGCATCCAAAAACCATCTGCTTCCCATCCCCATTCCGGCTTGAGGCTCACACCTTGATGCCTCAGTGCGTCCAACATGATTGTTTTCGGCCAAAGGAAACTGGACGACAAAGAGAAGCCAATGGTCTTGACCCCCACATGAGAATGCAAATAGAGCCCTAGTAGCTTCTTTTGCTCCTAGTAGCGAGGCCAGGAGCCCCCAGTAGCGTCCTTTGCTCCTAGTGGGATGGGAAAGCTTTGGGAATGTCAATGTGTCAGTGATGCTGTGTAAGTGTAGAGACACCACCAGCATACCTCGGAAAAAGAAACGGTGCAGCCAAAGAGCTGGTGGTTCGGTTGAAGCCTTTGAAGAGCCCCTCCTGTGCCAGCTGTTCAGGCCGAGCGTCCTCTTGTTCCTAGTAGTAAGGCCAGGGGCGCCCGTCCTTGGCATTAGAAGTGGCTCATATGCTGTTGAGGTCATTCTGATGGGTTGAGGCCATCGATGGAGGAGATCCAAATCTCAGCTTCCTCGCTCAACAAATTCGTTGGTAGGTACAAACAAGCCCAAAGCCCGGTCGGGCCTGTGGTGGCTCAAGCGCATGGAAGGCTTCCCAAAGGTTCATCACCTGGCATCGTCTCAACGAATCACCTTTTTTCACCAAGGGAACGCATCTTTGCCTTTGTAGGTTGGAGGCCATCGGAGTTAGTTTGGGGGCCATTCCTATTAGGTTGGAGGCCATTGCTATTAAGTGTATTTTTTCTTTCTATTCTTTCTTTTTTTTCTTCGCTTCCAGTTTTCTTCAAGCCTTTCTCGTTCTCCTTTTAGGGTCGCACTTTTTCTTCTACCGAGAAAGCTACTCAGTTGGAAGATGAAAGCTATGTCGTGTTTTTTCAGGTATAAAGTTGACTGATTGTGACGGCTGAAACTTTCTAGTTCAGCAGCCTAATGCAGTCTTCTCAACTTGCCACCTATTGTTTCTCCATTCTGTAAACTGACATCCTTCCAGCCCAGCATATGCGGATCTGCTTTGAATCGTCTCTTCAAGCGGTTCATGGTTGACTCACCACACCATCGAGCCTGGCCCTCGGATAAGCCCATGACCACGCCACACTCGAAGCCTGCCTGGTCCCATGCAGTGAAAGGCTAGAGCTATACTGTGATTTGAACGGGTATCAGGGATAATCGGATAGCATCTGACTCAACAAAAACACGCACATGCCAAGCATGCCAATGGTGTGACTCCAAGCTTGGTAGAACATTTCGCAATCTGGCACAAGGAAGAGAGAGAGAGAGAGAGAGGGGCTCCTGGCATCGCTACGAACGGAGCAAGGACGCTAGTAGTAACAAGTGCCACGCTACTAGTAACAGGTGCCTTACTAGTAGTAACAAGAAGCTACCCCCCCCGCGCGCGAGCGCGCGCGAAAAGGTCCTAGTAGATTACTTTGCTAGTAATTACAATTCTAATTAAATTCTTATTGTTACTTTTCTAATAGCAAACATTGTTACTAGTAGCGAGGCACCTGTTACTACTAGCGTGGCTTCTTGTCGCGATTTGGCTTCGCCTCGTAGCGCAGCAAGCTGAGACGATCTTGGATTCGGCTACAGAGGCCCTTCGGCTTGACGGCTGAAATTCACGCATGCTGACTCATCGGGACCATCGTTTTAACGCCCTGGAATCATCATGAAAGTTGCCAAACACACCTATTTTGAGGCCTTTGCGTTGGTATCTTTCAAAGTTGACTACAATGCATTTCCATCCATTTTCTACTTGTCTTTGTTTCACCTCCTAATTACATGCCTGCACTCTACCAATTCGCTTGAGAGCTTGTCCGGAAAGATCTTTGAGCACATTCAAGACTGGTGACAGCGATGTTCGCTAACTGTTTCTTCACGGCCGACGGATCTTAACTAGGAGCCAAGGGCATCGCTACTAGGAGCAATGTTCGCTACTAGGGGCTCCTGGCCTTGCTACTAGGAACAAGTGGACGCTACTAGGAACAAGTGCATCGCTTCTAGTAACAAGTGCCTTACTAGTAGTAACAAGAGACCCTACTAGTTACTAGTAAGAGTGCTACTAGTGCTTCCCTCCAAACCCGGTGTTCAAGCGATCGACCTGGAAGGTGTTGAAGGTCAGCGCTCCATGGCGGCTCACTCCCACAGCCTGAATTCGGCGCCTTTTGCTTGGCCGTCTAACCATCACAGGAACATCCTTTTTCTGAGAATGCACGTCCTTTTTCTGCTCTTCTTTTTGATCTTGGAACAATTTCCTTGTCACCTTCCCTTCCCTTTCATGTCTGTCCTTTCTAAAACAGACTGCAAGTCCTTTCTATTCCTAAACCCCGCAAGCCGCTCAACCGCTCCACCTCCGCAAGCATCGCAGTGATGTCATTCTGATCCTCCAACCCAGCTCTCCGTAGGATCCACGACTTTCCCGAAAGGGTTGTAGTAGCGTCCTTTGCTCCTAGTAGCGATGCCCTTTGCTCCTAGTAGTAAGGCCGGGAGGGAGCCCCTAGTAGCGTCCGATCGCTCCTAGTAGCGAAAGGGGGATCCTGACGGAACATGACTTTGCCGAAAGAGAGTGGAGGCTCCGGAACTGGCACTCTCCGAGATTGCTTCGGTTTAGACTTTGGGCGAAATTCTGTGTGCCGGGCGAAGAGTGGAGGCTCCATTTGTGCTGCACGCATAACATCTAAACATTTGAAGTGCTCTTGGTCCGTCTTTTTGGCGGTTCAGTTTAACAGAGCGCACCCACGCGGCACTGCATTTGCTCGACGCAACCAAACGTTTCTCGCCACAACACACACATGTTTCTTGGAACCCTATCACTCACCCCAAAAGAAAGTCTCGGACCAGTCACTGGACCATCGAACGCAGCAATGAAGCAACTGGACTACGGCACCTCCCGTCGCACCGGGTTCAAGTGGAGCTGCGAGAGTGCCTCCAGCGAGAAACCGAAAAATGACCTCGCTCTCCCGACTGGGAAGTGGAACTTTGATCATGATACGATGAACAAAAAGAGAAAAACATCAAGCAAAAAACGTTTTGTTTGTCCCTTAAGGGGGTAGTTATATAGTTACAAAAAGTCGCAGCAAAAGCGGCTGCACAGGATCGTATGCTATTGTAAGGGAACTGCCAAAACCTTCCGGCACCTTCAGAATCGCCTTTCCGAATTGGCAAAGATCAACCAAGCTTCTCAAACTAGTAGCGTCCTTGCTCCTAGTAGCTTCCCAAACTGACCACTTGCAAGAACAGTTTTTTTTTCCAAAACGGGCTGTAAAAGCTACCCTTTCCAAGGGTCTCTTCTCAGGGCACTGGACTCCACCCTGCTGAAAGCAAGAGGGCATTTCTTTACACAAGAAATCACCCAAATAAGGAAGAGGTAGGAGCGATCGACGCTACGAACGGGGCTCCTGGCCGTACTACTAGGAGCAATGTTCGCTATACTAGGGGCTCTTGGCAACGCGACATGCCGCCCCATCTCGCCTGCGCGGCCGCCGAGGCCGATAACAAAGCGCCCCGCCGGCCGTGCGCAAAGACCAACTCCAACTCCTCCGGAACAGCCGTGCGAACCAAAAATCACCAAATGAGGACCTTTTGTCCAAACAAAGATGTGGGATCGGACTTGAACTTCATGTTGGGCAATCCTGGTTGAGGTCTTATTTGTCCACGGATTTGAGTGGACTTGGTCAGAGAGTTTTTGAACCTAGTTTCGATCCGTTGTGGGTGCCATTTCTCTTCATTCACTGGGATCGACTAGTCAGGGAGAGGTATTGATGCCAACCTTAGGCTTTGCCGAATAGATTGCTTTCAGATTTGCACCGTGGGCAAAACGCTAGTTACAAGCGGCTAGTAGGTTGGAGGCCATCGCTTTTGGGTTGGAGGCCATCGCCGCTAATAGGTTGGAGGCCATCTCTTGTCGGATCCCTTTGCTGTTTGGAAGCCATTGCTAGAACAAAATCCTGCAGTGTAAAGGATTCAATAAAACAAGAAGCTATTAGTAACAAGTGCCACGCTAGTAGTAACAGGTGCCTTACTAGTAGTAACAAGAAGCTAGTAGTAACAAGGATTCAATAAAGCTTTTTGGATCGACTTCCGACATGCCGTCATCAGATTGCTGACGCTCGGCCTAGGTGTCACCCAGTGGCCTCCTTTTTGAGGGCACTGAGAGACATTGTCAGAGAGCGATGCAGTCCAGCAAGTGAAGATCAACAACCCGGTGATTGATACCAAGCTTCTTTTTGGTCATTCTAAATCTATGAAGAGTCGTGAGTCGTGAGGAAAAGCCCTGCAAGACTGCCACGCATTGTGGGGGTCACCCCATCATTTGAACTAAATCTCTACTTCTGCTCTTGGCCCCTCAGGCCGCTGCACCTCAACGGAAGGAGCATCAGTGGAAAGAAGATGCGAGTTCATCGATTGAAACTATAGTCACTTGAAGAATGCTTTCTCGTTACCTCACAATTGTTGTGTTTCTAAACGAGGACCAATGATCGATGACTTGGTTCAAGAAGCATCTGAGACGAAAAGGATCACTTGTTGGCCCCCTGCGATACGATCTTTGGTGTTTAGTTGTTCGTTTTCTGTCCTCTTTTGGACTAAGTTATTTATTCCTCGCTTTCAGGTCTCTTGGCCTCCGCAGAACATGTCTCCAAGTCTTTGAAGCCTTCCTCCTCAGCCAACTCCTCTTCATACTCCTGTGAGATGGCTCTGAGCAGAGGCCCGGTGGTAGGGTGGGACCAAAGCATAGACGACCAAAGGCACAAACCAAACAAACCCAGGTTTCTCCCAAATTCATCTATTTGCTTACTAGGAACAAGTGCATCGCTTCTAGTAACAAGTGCCTTACTAGTAGGAACAAGAAGCTATTAGGAGCAAAGGACGCTTCGCTTCGCGCAGGAACAAGAGTGTGAATCACTAAGCACTCCTCCGCTTCGCGCAGCAGGAATACGGCGTGGCCGATCCGGGCAAAACGCCACAAACGCGCCAATATCAGCAGGCCAGCCCTGAAGCGAACTGTAAAACTGGACAAAAACAACCTAGCTTGTGGCATGTTTCCTCTGAAATCCCACACCCAAAAGCGTTTAACCTGCATTCTGGTAGAGTCAGGGACAAGACCTAAGGCATTCTTTGGTTTCGACCTCACCTGTCGAATTTCACTCAAAGAAGGGAGGGTTCCGGAAAAAACGTTTGCCATTTTCCGGTCAGTCCAAATGTCTCTTCCACCTGTTCCAAGCCAGGTCCAACGAGTCAACAGCGGGTGAGACGAAGAAGAATGAAAAAAACATGTAACGAAAAGAAAAAAAATGGTAAGAAGAAGAAGAAGAAGAACTGAAAAAGAATAATGAAAAGGACAAAAGCAATCGCAAGCAGTTTGTCTTCCCTTCCTTCGGTTTCGTTTCGCTTGTTTCATTCCCTTCGACCAAGATGCCAGGCTGAGACCCCTTCGTAAAACATGCTGGCAGCAGTCCCCAGCTCGGTCGCAGGCGTCAAAGACGAACCCGTATGACCTCGCCGAAAGGACTCCCAACTGGCCCTTTTTTATAACTATATAATATAAATATAAAGTAGTAGTATCCCATCTTTACTACTATATATAAATATATATAATGTATATGTGTGTGTGTTCTTTAAGCCCGGGGGGTAGGCCGCTAAGAGGAAGAGGTAGTAGCCAGAGGTAGCTACTAGGTACAGGAAGCTACTGCGCACTGGGCGCAGGATAGCTCACGCTTCTATTCATTTGTTTCCTAGATATTTAGGAAAACTTAACTAGTAACAAGAAGCTACTAGGGGCTCCTGTCCGTACTACTAGGAGCAAGAACGCTACTAGGGGCTCCTGGCATCGCTACTAGGAGCATTCTTGCTACTAGTAACAACTTCGCACATATGTGTACAGCACTGCACGGATTGCGGACTGATCCCCAAGGCTTCGTGACCGAGGCTCTGGTCCATGCGAGTTGGCCGATTTCAGCGCCCAAGGACATGAGGACCACGAAGAGATCCAGAGGGAAGAACCAGATCGTGAAGTATCCTGTGGAACTTGTAGCTAGAAGCTACTAGTAACAAGGGCATCGCTATTTAGTAGCAAATTTGCTACTAGCAACAAAGGGCATCGCTATCCTGTGGAACTGAAGGACCCTTCTGGAAATGTCTTTTGAGAGCACCTCCGGTGAAGAACAGCTACTCAAGTAAAGCCAGACTCTTGTCCTAAAGGTTCACGAATAACACAGTGGTGGGAATCAAAGCAACAGTCCATAATGCTGCCTCTGTTGGAGCTTGGACACCTCGTGCCCACGGTGACCATGGTAGACCTGCCTGTACCTTTTTTTTTACCATTTGTCTCCTTCTTCTTCGTCTTCTTCTTATTTTACTTAAGACCTCTCTGTAAATATGCTTCCATCTAAGACTGACAGACAATGACAAGATTGCTGTGTAGCAAATCTTTAAGAAACAAAGAGCAGCCCGAGCAGCGTCGCTTCTAGGTTGAAGGCCATCGCTACTAGCCTGGAGGCCATCGCTTCTAGGTTGGAGGCCATTGCTATTACACTCCGACTCACTAACCTGGAAGTGGAAAAAAACAGTTCGTAAAGGAAAGTAGTCTTCCAAGGGACCCCACTTCCAAGTTAGTGAGTCAGAGCGTAGGTGGAGGCCAACGCTCTTAGAATCACTGCTGTTCCGTTCCAGGGCCGTGTGGAAGCGCCATCGAGGAAACTGGTTTCGAAGCGCCTTCGAGCGTCGAGTTACGGCTTTTTCGCCAGGAAGCTCCACCGAAAGGCCACGATGAAAAGGAGGTTTTCAACGAGGAAAACACACAGAATGCCCAAGCTCACCTCAAGGCCGAGTTCCTTCGCCGGACGTTTAGATTGTTCTCCTTCATATTTTTTAGCCCTCCTTCCTCAATTAAGTCTCCTACTTAGTTGAGTGAGGGACAAACTTGTTCGCTCCTAGATACTTAGGATGCTACATATGGAGGCAGCTATCCTGCCTCACGCTTCCAATGATTTGGTTTCCTAGATTGTATTTTTGCCGCCTCACGTGTCTATCTTTCGCTTCCTGTCATTTCTTCCCGCTCATCTCACGCCTTATGCCAGCTGTGGTGGAGAAGATTTCAGCATCCCTCTTCACGTGTGTGGTATTTGTTGGGCAGTCTGGGGTCAAGTTGTTCCTCCTGAGATAGAAGAAATCATGCCGCCGTGATCCTCTGCATCCCAAGGCCCGAAGGACATGGAAAGTACGCTGATGTCAAACATACACATCCGGCAAGTGTAGTGACTACTTTCATTGAATGTAGCCAAGTAGCCTTCTGGACTGGTACAATCCCCTCCGAAACAACTGAAACCTACATCGAAAGAATTTGTCTCCCCGTTCTCTAAGCCCTCTGCAAAGCATCCATTCAGCATTTGGCATGGTTTTGCAAAAATCTTCACCCATCCTCTGTTAAATTCCACCACAAGAAGCTACTAGGGGCTCCTGGCATCGCTACTAGGAGCAAGGACTCTACTAGGGGCTCCTGGCCTCACTACTAGGAGCAGGAATGCTACTAGTAGCAAGGGCATCGCTACTAGTAGCTGATATCCGGGTTTAACCCATAGACCTCGTGGGTGCCAGGCATGGACCGGCATGGATCTTCCATTGAACACCGGAACGCCCTTCATTCATGCCTTGTTTTAAATATGATGTTGGACCACGCTTTCTGAAACAAAATCATTTGACCATTTTGTGTGTGCAACAAGCTCCAGTTTGTCAGCTTGGTCACCAATGTAAAGATGTGCTCCACCTCAGCGAACTGTTCGGCCACTTGATGAGTGTGCTGTTCCTCAACACAGCGCTTTGCGTCCTCACACGTGGCTCTGAACGTTCTCAAAGGCTCTTCATTGAAAGAATTGAAACTCTTAGTTACTACAGTAACAAGAAGCTACTAGGAACAAGTGCATCGCTACTAGTAACAAGTGCCTTACTAGTAGTAACAAGAAGCTACTAGGTTAGGTTGGAGGCCACGTCTCATCCGCCTCCAAAAGGGGTCAAACTGGTCCAACTCTCCTGACTCGTGGAAATCCACTTAACGGGTCAAATGTCAAAGCAGGTGCTTCCAAAAAACGAGTTCACACCGTGTGGTAGCTTATTGTTTCTACTAGCAAACATTGTTACTACTAGTAAGGCACTTGTTACTAGTAGCGATGCACTTGTTACTAGTAGCGAGGTGTGAACGCCAGTCCTCCACACTCTCCATATGGTGATGTGGCCCTTCAGGTTCCACTGCATCAACGAAGCAGTTGGTGACGGCCGTCCCTGGCGTGGTCGGCGGAGATTCATTTGGGCATCTGGACAGCTGAAGATCTTAAGGAATCCTCGTTGAGCCATTTTTCTGGTCTTGGCGGTCTTAGCTTCTTCTCTTGCTTTCTTTGGACCTTTCTCCTTTCTTTGGACGCTACTAGGGGCTCCTGGCCTTACTACTAGGAGCAAGGACCGCTACTAGTAGCAAAGGACATCGCTACGAACGGAGCAAGAAGCTTTCCTTTCTTAATCCTGGTTGAGCTGAGATCATCGACTCGTGCTCTCACGCCTTCCATAGAGACAATCTCGATTTGCAACTGCAATCCCGCCACCACCAGCAGCACATCCTGGAAGCTAAGCACGTGCAAATCTAGTACGTTGGACACCATCGCTACTAGGGTGAAGGCCATCGCTGGTAGGTTGGAGGCCATCGATGCAGTTTTCTTGCTGAGCAAAAACCACCTGTGAGCCAAGTAGGATGCCCAGGCCCACCGAGACTACCAAGAGGTACCAAATGAGAAGTGGAAGGGCTTTCCAACTGTCACCTATGTCTGGGTTCCGGGTTTCTGGTGAACAAACTCGCTTAGTTTTAGAACCCAAAAAGACTCCTATGAAGAAGTTATCGGTTCATCCAGACCTTTAAATCATGCTAGGAGCAAGAGGACGCTGCTAGGGGCTCCTGGCCTCGCTACTAGGAGCAAGGACGCTACTAGGGGCTCCTGGCCTCGCTACTAGGAGCAAGGACGCTGCTAGGGGCTCCTGGCCGTACTACTAGTAGCAAGGACGCTACAGGAGACAAGAAGTTCACACCTTCCATGAAGTATGAAGAGATCTCGGTCTGCCTAGTCACCGTTTGACTTCGACGACCTGGACCAGGCTGAATTGAGTCGAGAATCGATTCCAAGCAGAAACAGCAAGGTGTAATGCAAATAGCGCCCGAAGAGGAAACGCACCAGCCCTGCGCGACAGGATTTCGAATCCAACTCAAGATCCTCAGCTGTGCAACGTTGTTTCCGTGGATTTCGGCATAGTTCTAACTTGATTTCGATGAGTCCTTCATGTGCACATCTCACTTTAAAACCAATCCTTTCCCATATCCTTTCCTGGCTCTTTTGGCCTCCAATGGAAGTCTCTGATCCTCCTCTCCTCCTCCCCTCCTCCCCTCTTCCCCTCTTTCCCTTCTTCCCTTCGAAGCTCGGGGAAGACCTTCCCGAACTCGGAGATCTCACGCATCGGCACCGAAGCCAACTTCGAGGCCATCATCATCAATTGTTCGCGATAGCTTAGCTGGTGCATGCGGTGGGAGAGCTCCCTGGGCGAGAGAGAGACTCCGACTCCTAAACTGAGAACCTCCTTCTCCATCAAACCATCGGCATCGCTACGAACGGAGCGTTCGGACGCTACGTTCGGGGCTCCTGGCCTTAGTACTAGGAGAACCTCCCTCTCCAAATCTTCAGCTTGACGGCTTACCGCCCGGCCTGATGTCCGTCTTCCGAGACCCCGAAGACGAAGCTCGTTTGGTGGCCATGGCTGCGACCGGAGCAGGAGATATGCAAAGAGATAAATTCGAGGAGGGATGAATGAGGCAGTTGTGGCATGGTACTATATGGTACTATATGATGGTACTAAATATGATGGTACTATGAAACGCCTACCAAAAAACATGTGCCTTCCCCAGAAAGAATAAACCATACGGAACCGCTCCCATATGTAATGGTGTGTCTGTGAACTCGTGCTTGAGCATCATTCTGATGCTTTTTTACTTGTGGGTGAAACAGCATAGATGAGCTTTGCACGACAAGCAAACATCAGGGTTTACTCAATCAAAGTGATTGTTGCTGCCCTTCCTCATTGCTTCTGTTGTCATTGTCGTCGTCATTATTGTTGTTGCTGTTTTTGCTGCTGTTGACGTTGTTTTGCTGTTGCTGTCGTTGTGCCCTTACGATGCAGCAAACCCAATCATCAGGTCAAAACATCACACATCATCGCTGTGATCATGAGCAATCAGTTCGCTTCTGTGATGGATCATAGGTGGGGTGTTTATGAAGTGGGCCAGGAACCCTTAGCAGCGTCCTTGCTCCTAGTAGTAAGGCCAGGAGCCCCTAGCAGCGTCCTTGCTCCTAGTAGCGATGCCCTTTGTTACTAGTAGCGTCGTCTTGTTACTAGGTTTCTTTTTGTTACTTTTTGTTGATTCCGGATTTTGCAGAAACTCCTTTTCGGCGCCCACGAGCGTTCGGCGCGGTCGTCCCGTAGTCGTCTGCAGGGCGTCCCGGAGTCCGAAACGCTGGAGTCGCTGTGAGACGATCGGAGTGGAGAAGACCTTGGAGCTTCCGGGTGCTGAATCCACGGTACTCAGGGCACACGATGTCATGGGATTCTGAATAGCTCAAAACATATGCAGTGTGATTGACCATGGCCCCTACCTCCGCTACTTGAGCACGAACATGCCACCATTCGGGAGTGCTCAGAAGGTTCTTGCAGAATTCAGGTGGTCTTGGGACACGAAGCACACTTGCTAGGACTTGGTCCCTCTAACCTACTCCGTGTTTATTGAAGCCCATGCCGTCCTTGTCCGGCCACGAGACATGTTTCCTGTCTTCCGGCTGTCGTCCTTGTCCTTTCTTCGGATCTGGTCGTTGCCGTTCAGGAAATCGGCCAACCACAGGTGATGCCGTGCACCTGCCGAGGTGTCCATCTCGAGATCTCCAGTGCGCAGACGTGTGACGTCGGCCCCGAGGCGGGAAACGAAAGGAAGAAAAGATGGATTGATGTTACCTGATATTGCCGATTCAATCCTCCCAAATGCACCCCCGGTGCACATCCCAAGAGCGGCACCAGCAGGCCAATGCCGGCCGAGCCCAATGTGGACCGCATGTAGCCGCTCAACGTCACGTCGGAGGTGCAGCTCGTAAAGACCTTAGGGGGCGTATGCAGGTGCACGGCGTATGCAGCAGGCAGACATCAAAGCGGGAACGATTCGGAAGGATCAAAAGAGAATCACCGAGGTGCTTAACATGGTCAGCTAGAATCCAGCAAGATGCTGAAAAACGTAAATATATATATATATACCTTCTGTCCAGTCTTGGGGTCCCTGAATGTGAAACTGACAGTTGGAGGGGCTGTTGCAAAACCGAAAGGTCAATGCTTGGCCGAAGATGTGATCGTAGCAGAAAGAGCAGAGAGCTGGGAGCAAAAGCGCATCGCATTGGACTCTGTGCGTTGAACTCTGAGGTACACTGAGAAGAGCTTCTGTTATATTCGGAAATCCCTAGGGTGCAGATCGTATTAGATCCTAAAGACTAGAGAGGCTGTTCAAACAAGTGAGAGCCCCATATGAACACTGCAACAAGTTGAAAGTGGTAAGCTCAAAGGCTGTTCACCGTCACCCAGCTAAACTACCCAAGTTCCTGATGCGAAAACCTCCTATACCATCATGAGGAAGAATTCGATTGTCCTGTGCGGAAGAATCTCTGTCAACTCCAAATCGATCCAACTCCGTTGAAGGCACACTCGAGAGACTCATCTGCGCTGGGTTCTCACAGTGACGGGAGGCCAGGAGCCAAGCCCAAACCTGGCAAAACCGTGAACGGCTACTGGGTTGGAGGCCATTGCTAGTGGTTGGAGGCCATTGCTAGTAGGTTGGAGGCCATGAATGAGCCGAGAGAGGGAAAGGGCATGCTTAGAGCGCTTGTGTGTTGATCTGCATATTCTATGTTTGGTGGTTTTCCTTCAATCTTCAAGTCATCGCAGGGCAATTGCGAGCAGCACAGACCACTTTCCCAAGAGTGAGATGATCTGTCAAAGATGTGTTGTTGGGCCCCTTGAATAAGGCCCCTAGTAGCGTCCTTGCTCCTAGTAGTAAGGCCAGGAGCCCCTAGTAGCGTCCTCTTGCTCCTAGTAGGGCCCCTTGAATAAGGCCCGCGTTTTGCTGCACTCTCGATGTAGAGAAACATAAAAACGCTGAGATCGATTGAGGCTAGTTTGGCCTTTAGGTCTTGGACGGGGCTTTTCTTTCCTGGTATGAATACCTAAAAGAGATGGCCTCCAACCTACTAGCGATGGCCTACCCTCCACCTGAAAAAAAGCAAAAAGTTCTGTCTTCGTTCTTCTTGTTGTCTTTCCTAATTTTCTCTAGACCTTTTTTCCCACCTTACAAAACTAGTGTGCTTTCCTTCTTTCCTTCTTCCTCAGAACAGCGCATCTTGAAAGCATCGTCCAATTCCAAGGAACGCAAAGCACTGTGACGCCGTAGAGCAGCAGCTTCCGAAGCCGGCCAGGACGATGCCGAACTGGGCCAGGTCACGCCGAATTCAGAGAGGATTCGGACAGGATGTGAGTGGTCTTGAACCAAAAACATTTGCCAATTTTGAGATGGCAAGGAAGCCTTTGTTTGAAGCTTCCGCTTTTGTTTTTGTCACATTCTTGTCCCTTGGATCTTCAGACCCTTACAGGTCATTCCCATCTTTTCCAAGCTACTAGTAGCTCCTGGCCTTACTACTAGGAGCAAGGTTCGCTACTAGGAGCAAAGGGCATCGCTACTAGGAGCAAGGTTCGCTACTAGGAGCAAAGGGCATCGCTACTAGGAGCAAGAGAACGCTACTAGGAGCAAAGGGCATCGCTACTAGGAGCAAG